GTCATTAGCGTTTTTTATTTACAAAGTTTCTTTTTCCTTTGGTACTGGTTACAGACACCGGCGACAGCGTCGATGGACAACCATACGGCGCCGCGCCTGACCTGTGTTCTGAATTCATAACACCTTTCACGGTAAAACTTTAGCTGACTCACAATTACCAATGCAGTACTGTCGAGCTTAATCCAGTAAATATTTGTACGAGGCTAAAATAAAAACTTGAGCACATCAATTATCGCGGCATAAAGTATATTAACACACGGGCAATTGATACGCTTTGATACACGGGCAGCGGGGTGCAAATGCAAAGTTGGATTTATATTTAATGTTTTGCTATAAATTTGATAGAAAAACTTTAAGCGTGCCATATGCCTGCACGTAGACAGCTCCTGAAGGTTAGCCCGGTGAAGTAACGTGGTCACTGATTGCATCCAATAGTAACACGAATAAACAAACATGGCTGCCATTCGCTGTATTCTTTCTAGATCATCAAGAAGCTTTCAGCTGTGTAGATCCCATATACCTCTGGCGTACTCTAGAGTTGGACGTACTACATTTCCGTAGGCTACCAGTTGAGGCATGGCGTAGCGGCGGGCTTCCAAAATTTGGGCCATATATTGTTCTTTATTGCCAACAGAAATCCCAGAACCCAAGAGTTCCTCGCTATTCGCCTTCATTGAAATGCTGCCGTCGTAGTGAAGCGGAACTGTCTAATTGCCAGGTATTGATAGCCGGTACGCTTCGCACAATAAGGCCCCACACGATATCACTGCATGAACATTACCATCCGCACTGTTTGCGCGTACTCAGCCAACCGGGAGTGTGTACTATTAAACCAAAATAGTACACACTCTCAGATGTAGCGGAATGTTGGATAATATGTTATCTACGTTTCATCTTCATATTCCACGGCTACCGGATATTGATCATGAATACATGTTATGATGATTATTTGGAATGATAGCATTTAGACTTAATATGCTGAGTTTAACAAGTGCTTCTATCTATCTATCTATCTATCTATCTATCTATCTATCTATCTATCTATCTATCTATCTATCTATCTATCTATCTATCTATCTATCTATCTATCTATCTATCTATCTATCTATCTATCTATCTATCTATCTATCTATCTATCTATCTATCTATCTATCTATCTATCTATCTATCTATCTATCTATCTATCTATCTATCTATCTATCTAGCTATCTATCTATCTATCTATCTATCTATCTATCTATCTATCTGTCTGTCTGTCTGTCTGTCTGTCTGTCTGTCTGTCTGTCTGTCTGTCTGTCTGTCTGTCTGTCTGTCTGTCTGTCTGTCTGTCTGTCTATCTATCTATCTATCTATCTATCTATCTATCTATCTATCTATCTATCTATCTATCTATCTATCTATCTATCTATCTATCTATCTATCTATCTATCTATCTATCTATCTATCTATCTATCTATCTATCTATCTATCTATCTATCTATCTATCTATCTATCTGTCTGTCTGTCTGTCTGTCTGTCTATCTATCTATCTATCTATCTATCTATCTATCTATCTATCTATCTATCTATCTATCTATCTCTGTCGTCTGTCTCTGTCTGTCTGTCTGTCTGTCTGTCTGTCTGTCTGTCTGACTGTCTGTCTGTCTGTCTGTCTGTCTACAGCTTTTAGCTCTCTTGACCGTTTCAGTGATGATATCAATACCAAAATTGATGCGGCATAACATGACTGTATGACGAGCATAAGTGACTAGTAATAACATGAAAACCATGACACGTATGTCACAATGTCATGATTTACATTCAAAGGCCTTGCTGTTTTTGCGGCGGTTTCGTTCACATGACACATGGCAAAGCTAGTATGGTATGACATGACTGCACGGCGAACATAAGTGACAGGCCCTGACATGGAAATCATGACATGCATATTATGAAAGTCATGACTACACGCCACGCCACGCTCATGGTGCACTAGCTTCACATATACAAAATTTGGGATTACGTAGCGTGAATAGATGACGAAGGTATATGACTGGTGCAAACATGATAATCCTAACATGCGTGTCATGTAATAACAGGACTGCATGCCACGCTCAAGATACGCTCTCGGCCGTTTCACTAACTTCGCATATATCTAATTAGATATTACGTGACGCGAACGGATGACGAAGGTAAATGACACATCCAAACCTGATAATCATGACAGGCGTGTCATGTAAAACATGACTACATGCTACGCTCATGGCGTGCTTGCGGTCCGTTTCGCTAGCTCCACATATACCGAATTTGGTATCACGTGACGCGAATAGACGACGAAGGTAAATGACACGTCCATACACGATAATCATGTCATGCGTGTCATGTTTATCGCATGACGATGCTGGCTGCACATAAAGGACGTATTTTTCATAAAAAAGTTTAGTTGTGAGTACAGAACATGTCGTGTGTTCATCGTGTCAGAAATTGAACCAACGTTGCCGGGAATGGGACCCTTAATGTGATGCGCACGCAAATTTCGTTCCAGCTTTAAAAAGTGATCTGGCTCTGTACACAGAATCACAGCACCACAGAATGATTCATCCGGAACAAAGTGATGCTGGCTGGTTCCCACTTGAGCTAAAAAAAAAACAACAAAACAGAATAAATTGAGAGAAAGGCAGGGCGGCCACCAGAATTGTAACATCCAGTTCGCTACCCTGCACTAAGGGGAGGGTGGAATGGGGAAGAAAGATGAGAAGGAAAGTGAAAAGATAAATAGACGCGCGGAAAAAAATATTAAAAAAGCGGGGGTGCTACAACCTATGCAATAGGCCACGACAACGCAAATGTTCAAAAAGGCTTTGACTGATTTTCTGTGCGAAAGCGGATCGCTTCGGCATTCAAGCAGTGACTGTTCTGACAAGTCTATGTCACCATGACGTGCTAACGCAGCATCTAGCGGCGGTCTGTGCTCGTTGGAGCTAGGGCAGAGACAAAGAACGTATACGCTATCGTTTCATCGCTTCTACAACAATCGCAAGTAGCACTGTCTTGCATGTCAATTCGGAAGGCAAACGATTCTGTGAAAGCGACACCGAGGCACAGCCGGCAAAGCACTGTTGTTTCATGCCCAGAGCGTCTGCACGGAGGCCGAAGTCGACTAGATGGGTCCAGCGTGCAATCGCGTTTGTCGCAAACTTGCTATATATCAACAGGGACATCACATCTTCATTATCAATCAGTCGTGCGTCTCTCATAATCATATGGTGGTTTTGGGACGTTAAACCAGACATATCAATCAATCAATCAATCAATCAATCAATCAATCAGTCATATTGCCATGGCAGCATCAGTCCTTGCCAATGTAGAGACTGCATACATTACACAGTGAACATTTCGTCGTTGCTATAGCATTTCCGTTTCTCTGAACAGCGTTGTCGGAATTTCTGATGAAGTTTACTTGCCGAAGAAGTTATGAGTTCGCTGACCAAAATCAGGGGCACCAATGTGTGTCTGTATTGTAAGGTAAACGACATGGATCACTCGAATCGTACTCAACGCCACGAAATGCACTGTGCGCTATTGAATGCAGCATGTATGCGAATTCTCTATCAGAGCGAGAGCAATGGCTTTGAGAGACCTGGCATTTTTCATGAATTGATACCCACTGTATGTACGCTGCGACACTTTTACGCAACGTGCTTTTCAATAGTCCTGCACTGATCCCGAAGAGTCCTTGGAAGCAGTACTCTTGGCCGGAGCTCTCTATATCGCGACACGAGCACGTTATCGACTTATCGGGGGGGCTTTTATTTAGCAGCCGACCCGCTTATCGGCCTCTCGAGCATCGCAATGTGTTATGCATGGTACCCAATAACAGGTTTCGTTGGGCGCCGGTAAGCCGTCTGCGTCTGTGCCCGTGCGCTCGCTGATCTAATGCGAATTTATTCAGCTCACTACGCTGCTGTTACACGAACAAGGTATGTTTATTATATTTTAATTATTGCACAGTGACCTAATGCCGAATTACCAAAAGCGTTATGCTTTAATGAATCCAGTATAAACTTCGTAATTACTTTTTTCTGAATCAGCTGACGTTCCTTGACTGGCTATGCAAAAAATGAATTCACTTGAGTGAGAGTTATCTCGCAAATAGTCTTGTGAAGCTTTGACAGGCAGAGAAGAGTACAGTTTTATGACGCTTGTATCCTATATTAGTATTAATGACTGGTGTTGTGTATGATTATGCACTGATAAAGTATGTTCAAGACCGCCTGACACCTACGTTAACATTGCAAGAGTCGAACTGCATTTATAAACATATTTCCACAGGTCGTGTAGGTGGTTGCACAAAATATACAGAAAGTGACCAATTACCTGCTGTTGGGGCTCGAAAATATTGACACCCGGCTTTTTACAGGCTTGTGCTACGATAGCTGGCAAGCTGTTCCGCTTTGCAGCTGAAAGATAGTGGGTTTGAACTACAAGCCATGGTGACCTCTTTTCATGTATATATAGCAAAATTTTAAAACAACGTTGCACTTCTATTTGAGAGCAACTAAACAGTTTTGATGCGATGAAAACAATTCAGAGATGGCCAACCATTCATAGCTCTTAACTTTCTAATATACTGCTTGAGAGTTTTTTAGCATTCAGGCATTGTTTTAGTTCTTGCTCAAGCAAGGGTCAGCTGCACGTCCTAAATCATCACCATGGGGAACTGTACAGACTCTTGGACGTCTTCATACGTCGGTCGTCTTGAAGTATGTTGATTACAAACTTTGTGGAAAATCAAGTTGGTTTCATTTTTACCATTCCAAGCAATTTCATTGTCATTGCCTGTTTACTTACATCTGCTAATTTCCTTCTTTCTGCTCTAATTTTGCGGCTTCTGAATTCTCATGAAGGAAAGTCAATCTGCTCTCATGATGAACTGAAATGTTTGTTAGTACTATCAAATTTATTTCTGAAGTTGCCACTTTTTGTAAGGAAGTGGCTATATTTTAGTGTCTTCTTGCAGCATGAAGGACTAGCTGCCGCTAAGCATGCCTCATAATGGAAAGTAATAGTACGGCATTGGAAAAGGCCACGAAGAGGGCCGACAATAAACACGCAGCCACGACAATGCTTCGCAGCACTGGAACACCAAATCTAAATGGTTTGTCTTAATTTTCGCGAAGAGTTTACATGCATGCTGCCTCTTTCACTTAGCTTCCTACGGAATCAGGAAGACAGCTTCCAAACGCTAGCGCATAGCTGCATCAAAACAACCTATTTTGCACGTCACTTATCTGCCAGTAAAGCTGTTTCACTTGTTGGTGTACACATGCTCAACCCTCTAGTTGGCACCCTTTTGCAGACATACGCATTCCATGCATGCTTGTGTTTTCTTATGTTTCCAGTCACACTTAGGGGACAGTTAACATCTACGCGGCTGAGGTACCACGTTTTCTTTTTTACAGTGTAAGCACGGATGTAAAGCTACGCCACACGTGAGTGTCGACAGACGGATGATATGGCATGGCATAACGTACAGACACGACATCTGTCCTGCACTAGAATAGCCCATCAAATGGGATAGGTGGGAAGCGTTGTCAGTAACAACATCCACCACCAAGCATGGAGTGTTAGGACCATAGGAAGGAGCCCGTGCAGTTAGTATTTTAAGGAATAATCTGAAAAAAGCGCCACTTTTTCTGTTCTTTTTGGGAACTTAAATCTATCCACACTCTTCACGCACACCTTTTGGTAATCTGTCCAAACACCGGCTCTGATGAAAACTCGACTGTACGCTCGTTTCACGAAACTTGGTACTCCATTCGCAGAGACGCAGAGGCAAGACAGAGCTTGTCGTTGGCTTCTCCAACTCTGTGAATTTCCCTTTTTTCTTTATCTCTCGCATTGTGTGTAAGCTCACCTACTTCTAGGTATATTGTGTGTAAGCTCACTTTCTTGTAGGTGCTACTGCAAATTTCTTCGATGGTGTCATAATTAAAACAAACAGTTCCCTTTCAAGTGTTGCCAAGCCTCGCTCAATAGGTCACCCAATACACTGCGACTAACTGATCACATTTGTTGACCGATGGTCTGCCATCTCACCTCAGGCCGAACAGATGAAAGCGAACATCAAGACAGATGCTGGAATATACCGGTGGCTCTGGCCGCGGCCGCATTCATGGTCTGCATGCCGTGGTCATGGTTCGGCCTCCTGCTCGTCTACTTCATGGAAGAGTTCGAAATATCGAGAGAGACAGCGTCCTGGCCAAAAAGCATCGCTTCTGTGCTAAGCCACGTTTCAGGCAAGCCATGTCCTTGCTTTGAGGCCCTGCAAACATTTCATAACGCGTTTGACCACTTGCGTACAGAGCACGTTATTAAAACACGCAGACATTCCTGCTTTAAAATATTTCTCTAATAAGCACCCACTGCTCACAAGAACTAAGTTTCAGCGGATAACTTACAAATTAAGCAATGTAGCCTGATTCTGTGTCATGATAAGTGTATGACATACATTGTGATACAATAAGCGGAATGTGTAATTTTAAAAGTTAGCGTCAGGTTGCAACAAATCATGCTAATAGTTACGGCATGTAAAAGTATGCGATAAAACTAATCGGTATTGCAGGTTCGATGTTCTTAAGGGCTAAAGAAGAACATTTTATTATAATGGCGGCTCAAAGAACCACGCGTATTTACCACAACGTACACCACCCTTATGTCAACGTTACTCCTGCCTTCGACATTCATACCTAGAGGACGTGCATTTCACGATTGACTTGCTTTATTAGGGCATTAGAAAAAGGTGATCATAAAGATTAAAGGCGAAAATGCATCAGTAATTACGATTTACAATGTCTCCCTCATGAAACGATGCAGAGTAGTAACATTGCACTACCAGCCTTTGGGTAAAGCAACTGTTTATAATGAAAACATGGATGATAGAGCTAATTCAGCCCCAGAGGTTTGAAAAACTCATTCGCAAAAATAACATCTTGAAGCAAACAACTTTTTTGCGAAAACGACTAATTCTTACCTATATGGCCTCTATTTTGCAGGGCTAGCTGTATACGGCCTTCAACAATACATCAAGACCTACTACATTGTGTTGATAAGTACCGTTTTGACTTCAGCGGTTTCATTTTTTCGGCATTTGCCTCCAACATTTTGTGGATGTCAATGTACACTTGGAGTGATGCATGGTAAGGACTGTCACAAAGGAAGAATTGTATGTAGTGTTGTTTTATATTTCAAATTTGATCTATTAAGACTACGAGCCACCATCTCACAATGCATTGCAAAGTTAGGCGTGAAAGTTGTATTGTTAGGCCCAGTTAGAACATATTAGTAGCATTCCGTTGTGTCTTTTGTTTTGAAAATTTTATACTTGCAGTTTTTTTCCATAATTACCCATAATTAAAAAATATATGCCAAACTTACGATGTTGGTGCGTCTTTTATGTATTACACCAAAACCAAACCTGAATGTGATAAATACGAGCCTTGCAATGCACAGTTCTATTATCTAGTAATAATCATCTATTAGTGAGTGAAATCTTATCTAAGAAAAATAGGTATAGAGCCATACTACACTCTATTGAGGGCGTCTGAATACAAGGAAATCACTTCTTCGCTGAATTTAGGAAGTTTCTGCATCAAAATGAAGCTCAACACGTAGGCTCAATACATAACAAATCATGATTACTGCTATAGTCGAATGAGTAAAGAAGTCTAAAACTGAGCGTAAGAAAGTCAGAGCCATTTTGGCATGTAATATTTTTTGTGTTGGCCAGAGAATATTTGTGCTTGATAAAAATGATACCTGCTCCTAACAGTCAGACACCGTTGGACACAGAGGGTCGCGGGAGGCAGTGTTTCAATACGTGTACTTGTATTCGTGAAGACCGCTTCATTTTGGCTTTTACGAAGGGGAGTTCTTTTCTCCAAATGCTGGCTTCAGCAGCTTGCAAAGACTTCTGAAGTAAAGCACCACGACGGGCGAATGGGTACACATTCACTTTGACGATTATCATTCAATAATAAAGGCTATCAGTGGTGTGTCTGTCTTTTGTATTGTACATGTTTTCTAGTGCCGTTAATAGGACTTCAAGATTAGATCTTTCATGGAACTGGAACATCTGTGTCATTTGGACTTTTAACAAAGGAAAAGGCGTGCACAGCAGTAAAACGGGTCCATAGTTCAGCGCACTGCGCCAGTCTAGCATAATTGTGTTAATTGACTAGGTACCTTTGAGGTAATAATTGTTTTTAGTCGCGTTCACGCTACATCAGGTAAGCACACTTATTTTGAATGACATGCTTCAAAGTGCAGAACGCTACCGAAGCGTTATCGGAGACGTGTAGAGTGGCACCAAGTTAGAAATATTTTAATGAAGGGCTGGAGATGTGTGGCCTTTCGCGTGACATGAAAATAGCACTGATCATTCACTACACACATAATGAATGACCATGGTTCTCCAACATGTAAATATTCTGTGTTGAACATCGGCGGTGATTTCTTACGTCGTCACCATAATTTATTTGTGAACGTACTTTTTTATATGTTAGCATTCCCAATCTGCCAACAATCGCCATAACTGGTGCGTTTTCTTAGCATTCATCTCCTAATTTAAACACAATTTAAAAACGATAGCCATATTTAGCTACTGTCTGCTCACTTCTATCAATGAAGAAATAAATGAAAATCTGCCAGCTTCGTAAACTTCGCCATAAAAATCGTGGTTTCTGTTTGTAAAACGCAGGCCTAGGACATGGAGTATTTGTGACATCAGCCACCGTGTACACCCTCCTCCACTTCGAGAAGTATCGTGGCATTGCGACGTCACTCGCCTTCATCGCTTATGGGGCGTCGTCAGTCATCAGCCAGATTGTGTTGGCTGGCCTCGTTGAACTTTATGATATAGGTGGAGCTCTTCTTGTCTACGGAGGAGTACTGCTAAATGCCACCGTCGTTGTTATGCTAGCCAAGAACCCTTGGCCACTGCAACTTTCAAGAAAACAAGGACAGTCAGAACCTCTGCTGAAAAAGGATATCGAGTCGACGTGTTATGAAGCCACCACCAACAACACTAGCAGCAAACAAAGGTAAAGTAGCCCCGCAACTGCTCTCTTCTTTTATTCAGAGGTGACGATAATGGCGCTGAAACATTCAAAGAGATTTCTTTTTTTTCTTTTCTGAGTGCTAGCAGCAATACAAATGCTGACCACGCGACGGCCTTCCAACCCGATGGTCGCTCAATTGGGAGAGTTTTCCTCGTATTGCCTATCTGGCATTACCCTATTTCCTTGGTAATTATGAATCCAGTATCAAGATGGACTGCCACATTGTGCTAAATATAGGGGCTTGTGACGGGTTTTTGGGTACGGCATTGAATAATTCTAAAAGGAAGAAACTACATGGGTAGAAGTCTTTCGCACAGCTGTATCATTGCGCTATAATGAGCGAACTTCTTCAAGGCCAACACAGTAATTTTTCGCTCAGAAATCCTAATCATGAGTAGCACGTGGAAGAGACATGCTGAGCATGTACTTGAAGAATATACAGTGCCCAATGATCTAAACTTAACCATGTTTTATGTAGTGGAAATAACTTATTGTTATAAATCAGGCATTAATAAAGACGCATTTAGCAACGTAATCAAAAATATTTTACTAACAAAATTCTTTTAGTTTAGGCCCACAATATAACGCTTCCGGAGATAACCCTGGGAAATATCCGCTATAGGATTGCTGCTGGTTTGGATGCTCAAAGCTGAAGTAGTACATGGGAGTATACGTGATGATGAAATGTAAGCCAATAAATGTTCTAAGCACAAAAAGTTTCTACGACAATAAAAACAAGTCTTCCACGCGTAACAAGTTGAACACAACGTTCTGCTTGGAACCCCAATAAACCATTAGCTGGATAGGAACAACAATAGTTCGAGTGTTGCGAAGACTGCCGCCAGGATAGTTGAAAATACACTAATCTAACAGCATTTGCGGCCCATATTTACACCACCTCTGAGCCGAAAATGCATATAATGTGCAAAATTGCTTCACGCAAACAGTTATGTAAACTGCGAACTTCCGGTTGCAGCCAGATGATTTTAATGACCAATAACGCATGGCTTCTGAGATACCTGATTATTATTGTTTTTCACCCCGCGCAAGAGGAAAACATTTCAGGGTGAGTGAGAGATAGTACAACTGTATGGGAGTCCAGTGCAGACGCTGATGTCCACTCGCGCCACCCGGCTACTATTACGTGGGCACAGGTACGTCTAATCTATCGGTCTTGCCCAGGGCGCACAGATGGTCAAGATTTGCTCTTGAGGTTTTGGGCTTCTGAGAAGCGCTTCTAACTATGCCAAGTGGGCCTTAGAGACCCACACTCCCCAAGCAAGTGTGCTATTGTAACGGTTTGGCCGCAACCGGTGCAGGCCGCGTCGGAAAAATAGTGTGGATAAATTACCATTACGATTATTCCACGCATAATCGTGCATCATATTTTTCTGTAAGTATCAACACGGCAGCATTGCGAAGGAAGGAGCTCTTTTGACCAGCTTTGTTTAGTTTTTTTCCCCATTTTATGAAGGTAATCGTTCATCTGCAGCCTACAGGTGCGAAATAACCCTGAACACATTCTTCTTGCGACCATTTCCTAATTTATCAAAACGCGAACACACCAAAATATCTCTGGAAACAGATAAATGGCTTGTTCGAAGATATAAAAACAGTATAGTTATCGAAACTAGAAAATTAATTAACACGACTTCTAAACAATTCAGCTAGAAACAACATCGTTTTACAACATACCACAAGAGCTATTCTTGAACACTTTGTATGCCAAAGCACCTAACTTACTACATAAACACACTATTCTTTGTTGGAATAAAGCATTAACCAAATGTGGCTACATTATACTTCGTAACGTGTTGACCTTGAATTCTAAATATGCTGGACCTGATGTTTAATTTTACTGTCTTTCATTTCGCATCCGTCACATCAATCGCGGAATGGCACTGCAACGTTTTTTTCTACTGCGTACTGATGCATTTGTATTGTATAGTTCTGTATTACTATGTATTACTGCTGTTTGCGACGTGAGATGTTTTTATGTCCTTTACTTTTGTATGCGGGTGCAATACCGCTTAGGTGTTTGTTTGTTTATGTGGCAGTTTGTGTGTAGGTGGCCACAGCGTTGTCAAGCTATCAAAGACAGCTCTCACCACGGGCTCCTCGGCTATCACGTTTTGTTTTGATGGCAAAACAAACAGATTTCAATTAAAAAAAAAATCTGAAGTTTTTCGTAGCGTCATACAGTGCGAACAGCAATTATCATATATGAAGCAGCAAGCATGTGCTTCACGCTATCCACTTCTACCATGCTCTCAAAACTTGTGCGTGGATTGTTATGAAGTGTAACAAAAACTATGATGTACGAGCCTGTTTTTAACGGAAAATCATGCAGCATGCGGTAATACCTAGTCACTGGATATTTTTTTCGCCATAAACAGCGTAACTGCTGCTTACGCCAGATGCCCGCCCGCCTTCTCGAAATCCGCGTCAATTATTATCACGCAACAAATATCACATCGCTTATGAGTTAGTGACGTTCCTTGTCTAGCCATACTTATTACTACTGCAAAAACATAGCATCACTAGCAAAAACTTGGCAGTACTTCTAAACAGCCGCTATAATGATGGTTTCACCCTTTTGCCACTATATACTGGATACTCCACACTTCTTAAGTCCTTCTGGAATACAGATCCCGTACTGAATATTTTTATCTCTGATGGAAGGAGTAAACATCTACTCTAATTCCTCTCAAACAGTCACTCAGTTAATGTAATACATTGGCACTGCGTTTCGAACGTTGTCCTGGTAGTATTTTATACATTCTTCATAGATGATGTGATTCTGAATCGCTTCTATTGGTACAGGAGTGTGGGGCCATCTTTTGTTGCCCTACCAACGATGATGAATTAATTATCGGGTGACGAAAAGTGACTTCCCATTTGGGCATTTCACCGAGGGTTCTGTACTTTTTAAACTTTAATCTTGCCGTATTTTTCTTTATCTGTTTGGGAAGTCCAGAAGACCAATGCCTAATTATGCCGGAAAAGAAGATACTGCCGGAAAGCTGTACACTGAAGCAAGCCTGGGAGCTCTTCTACGCGCCAGCATTCTACGTGCTTCTGGTGACTGTAGTGGTCGGGGATTACACGAACACCGAATTCTCAGCAACCATCGTGGACTACGGTATTGATAAAGGCATACACCGGGACCACGCCAAGCACCTGGTAACGTTCAGCGCGATCGGACAGGTTGCGGGCCGAGTGGCGGTTCCTCTTCAGTCAGACTTCTCCCCGTTCATGCGCCACTTTCTGTATACTCTGAGCTTCCTGGCGCTGTGTTGCTGCATGGTAGCAATGCCATACGTATCTGCTTGGTGGACCACTCTTGCACTGTCTACCGTGATCGGAGCGTCAGAAGGATACATAATGTGCATCAAGTATGTCCTCTTGGCGGAACATCTCGGTGTCGAGCGGACTGCTGTTGCCATCGGTATGATCGGTATCCTGATGACACCGGCGCTTCTTGTGAGCCCAAAACTTTTAGGTGAGTGGCTAGGTTCAAGCAATCACGTTTTTACAGTGAAAGTTTTCCTGTCCCAGTGTAGCGAGTTTCGCTGTGCATCTCCACGTGATGATAAGGAAAGAACAAATACTCCTTGACAAACCACGCGGAAGTTTGTTTTGGCGGTAAAATTTAGCACGAGTCTGCATCGGACGCGTTCGTCGGCTCGTTTGTCTACTTCCCCGAGTACTCTTCCCCAGCACCAGAATAGAAAACGCAAGGAACCTGAAAACGCCAGCGCAAGCGTATACGTTGCTGGTTCAGGGGCCTGAGGTTTGGTTTTGAAGCGCAACTCTTCCTTCGGTGTTTTCTTCGTGGGTGAAGTGACATGAGATTTGCCTCTCATTAAGGTTGTGTACTTTTTGAGGATAAACATTAACGCCAATAGCCATGAATAGCGGATTTTAACATTACAGAGTGTTGATGTCTGCTTTGAATCATCCTTATTTCACAAAACACACAGGATCGCAGTGATGATAGTCTGGCTGAAAAAAGTCATTTTTGCTCGGCAATCACGTAGATACCAGGATAATAACGGTGAAGTGAGACACAGAAAAGAGAAAAAAAAGACAGTAATTATATTCGCAGTGAATCGCCTCACCTCCTCCTATCAATGTTTTGACTTGTTATTCCACGCTTACGTGGTAGAACGGGTAGATTGCCCTGCGCGTTGGAGCTTGCGTGGGTGCTAGCAGCTCACGCCGAGTCGCATCACACACGGAAACGACGTCATTCACAATCGAGTGTTTCATGCATGCACCACTGTACATGCTTGCGTAAAACTTTAAGGGAACACATTTGCACTTCTGTCCATAGCAACATCAGATAAAGTCGCCCCATCTATCCCACGACATTACGTAGCCACTGATTTAATGAATTCACATTTTTATAGTCTGGCATCAACGTAATAAAATAAAAATATAAATACAGCAGGACAAGCATGATAACATGCGAGAAAAAAACAAGTATGTAGATAAGAGACGAGGTCACTGCACAGACACTCGAGGGCATCAGCAGCATTCACCTTGAGATATGGCCTAGCAGTGGGTGATAACGTGTACATGCTGCGATTTGATGAGCACTTCAAGGGCTCCTCAGTATAGAAGGTAATGCGCACGTGGAAAGCTATTGGTGTTGCCAAGACGAACCACTGGTGGATCTGTTTTACCTGAAAATGTGTTAATGAATATATTACGCTGTCGATTTCAAGGAAATGTTACTCATTGAAGGTTAAGGTATGCGTGTAGCTTAAATACTGTGCTAAATTTGTTATCAGTTCAATAACACCCTGTAATTAACAATGAGCCTTTGTGGATGGTACGTAAACATGAAAAATGACTTGGCCAAAACCCTCATATCCATGACCGATGAGAATAAAACATTGCGAAAGGTATAAACAACTATGCCTTTATTAAGGCCAAAGAGAATTCCTTATAGACCTTGACTGTCGTCAACGTTGGCGTCAACATAAATCATGCGAAACCTCCTGTTACGCTGATGTCACAATGGTTTTATAAATTTGTAAAATCATTGGGGCATCATTGAAACCCCAGTAGAGCACCAGAGACAGTGACGTCAGATATGATGTCATGTCCTAATTGGTCGAGTGGCCAGTGGTGGACTGATACCGAAGTTTGAGCAGCACCACATGGGATGCAGACAGATTCAGAAGGGAGGGGGGGAGAAGGATGTGAAAGGACTGAGAAAGAAAACAGAACAGTAAGAAGTTGGCTTTCATTTTCGAGTAGTCTTGGGCAAATTCAAAACAAACCATGTAAGTTTCGCGTTCATGTGATTGATTGATTTGTGGGGTTTAACGTCCCAAAACCACCATATGATTATGAGAGACGCCGTAGTGGAGGGCTCCGGAAATTTCGACCACCTGGGGTTCTTTAACGTGCGCCCAAATCTGAGCACACGGGCCTACAACATTTCCGCCTCCATCGGAAATGCAGCCGCCGCAGCCGGGAATCGAACCCGCGACCTGCGGGTCAGCTTCGTGTTCATGTGCCCAATGAAAAAAAATAATTAGAGGTATATGAAGAACGTACTACGGTGACTTGAAAAATGAGGACGATTATCAAAGTTAGCAACGAGTGGCAACCGTAAAACGAATAGTATGTAACTGAACGCATGTTTGCAAAAATATGTAAGTTATTGAAAGCCCGGTAATCTTCTGTGGGAAAACGACAAGCTTACCCGAAAATTGTGATAGCAGAATTTGAACGAGAAGAGAAAATCATGGAGAATTTAGTGGAACGAAGTTGGTTACAGCCGCTCTACGCATGAAAAAGCACTGAAATATCGGTGACAGCTTGCACGTCTCTCGACTTCCACCTGCACATGTGGGCAGCACAAACTCTATGCGCGTTTCCATCTTGTACTGCATCGATTTACACTGCATTCTCGGTGGTGGTCATATTAACTACACTACGCTCCACACTCCAGTATTTACTTTGTTAGCTTGAACTAAAGTAGTATGAGTACCATAAGCATCTTCCATGAAGGCTGCTGCATCATAACTTTCTAGAAGACCTTTATTGTTTTATTTTAGCTTTTTTAGGCTCGTCTCAGTCTTACAAGCAACCATAGAATGCAAAAATGCTTAGAAATATTGTATTTCACATTCTCAATACCCTCTGTCAGGTGTTCATCAATTTTCAACAAACTTTGAATTCAGTGCTGCGACGAACATTATATGCTGTCTATTTCAAGGTCTGTTTCATTCGATAACGTGTTTTGAACTTGGTTCAAAAATCGTTATCGCTTGGTTTTGAACCCATCAGCTTATGAGTTCACGCAACTGCGTTTAAACGCCGTTCTCATCTACGAGAATACGTATGTTGTCTTTAAATATTTTTGGGAAACAAAGCATTCAGTTGGTCCAGGCACAAGGTTCATCAGCCTTCAAGACATACGCCCGTGTCAGTCTTAGAGACGACATTTACCTTACCGAAATGTTTACGTTTTTTAGAATATGTACTTATTCTAATGTCATCAATACAAATCTGAAGGTTCATCGGTGAATGCTGATACAACTCTTTGGAACGTGCCGTTTCTGCACAATAATTTGACTGGTCTTGTATGCTGTCTGCTAATTCGCAAGAACAAGTTGTGCGTGACCTTGTGTAGTCGCAAGAAAGACGGGCATTGGCTAAGTATCGGCACCTTTCTTGCTTCGTAATGTTCCTTTCTTCCGATGCCGAACACGATGACATTTTGATTTACTGCAACTTCAGTGCCAATAGTCATGTTAATGCAAATTGTTTTCTGATGGTAACGGGTACCTCTTACAGTCGCCTAACCTCCTTCAGCCTATGTTATGTTTTCTTATCGTTCACACGTGGTGATTGTTATTCTGAATAACATATTGACAAAAACACTCAACGTCACTAGCATGCGTGACCTCTTAATGACTAACATTCACCATCCTTGCGAGCTTACTGAAGTCCGCAAAAAAAGACATCTGTGACTTTCCTTATGCCAGTTTCTAGAAATGCGCTTCTCATATTAAGGTCAAGGTTTACTACGTTTCAGGAAATAAGGCAGTGCACCTATGAACCTGATGTATGCAACAAAGGTGACACGCCAACTTTGCGCGTTTTGCATTTGTGTTAAAGCAATCCCATCATCGCAGGATCCCTACATCAACCTACATCCCACTGCTCACCTTTCCTGTCACTAATTTACTGGATACTCGAACATACAGCTTGCGTCTGAACAATTTATTTCTGGATTGTTATGTCTTTATTATTGTCCCTGTCGTTCACATTACGACTTAACCTTAAAATCTACACGGAGTTCAACGAACCGGATACCCGCTTCTGAGTGTCCGCTCAATAAGTGTTTACCCATATTATTGAGAGATCAATAGAGATTTTCCGCTTCGTAACCCAGAATTGCTAGAGTCATTATTCGTGAATATGTCGTTTACGACTATTGTCCTTGATTATCTTGGATAGGTTTATATTGCTTAGTTTCATTCTTTTCTGCTTTGCGTGTGATAAGATGTCAGCCAGAAAAATTCCTTCATTCCTTGTTTATGTATTGTTCTACTACACTTGTAGGACTATTCCGGGACGTTGCTGGATCATATGATGGCTACTACCGCCTCATGGCCACTCTGAGCTTGATGGCCGCTCTCCTCTTCGCTGGACACGATGCCTGGATCTATAGAAAAAGAAAGCGTAGACATTCTGTCAATCCCAAAAGCCCTACTAGTGAAGCTACATAATTCACGTTTCAACAGAAGCGCTTTATTTTCTGTGTTAAACAATATTTCAGTAAAAGAAGGTGATGATTCGAAATCATGAGTAAAATGGCACTAATTATTTACCAGAGACTTTATAAAAGCCCATTTGAGTATTGCTTTTCAATAATGCCCTCGTGTTTCGTTCGTGACATTGCTTTTACCGTAGCACGTAACGTTTTACGATGTAAGTGAAACCACAACCGTAATATGCTTGTGCATCCCGTGATAACAGCGTTGAGAACATTACCTGATAGTGTCAGGTAATGACCCGTATAGCAGCGCATCTAGAATGCACGAATACTCGGATGGTGCACTCAGGGCATTTTGCCGGTTGTGGAGTTCAAGCAAGTTTTGAAACCAGAACTTCTTTTCACGCCTTTTAGCGAGTTCTACGCCCTTTTCACACAAATTCCGTGGAGAGTTATCATGTGACATTTTTTATAACAGGCACATGCACAACAGAATTCAGCTATAGTATATATTCGCACTGAGCAATGAATAGCTATCGCTGGCTAACATCGGCTATAGTGCCTAACTAATCAATAAGTTGAGCCAGTGCGAGTCAGCTAGTTTGTTTATGATGGCTAACCAAGACTGGTTTTGGTTTATTTTGCTAAGTAAACATAATTAAGTGCGGAGCACATCAGGGAATGGGGGGGGGGGGGTTTGCTGTGTGCTCCATGCAAAGCATGAGCGTGCACTCGTGCAAAGAAGTTTTCTTGCTACTGATCTTCGAGGGCCTTGATAATAATACGTTAGCACGCACTTGCGCCGAGGAAACGTCTTCCGCTTCTTTTTCTTCGAGTGCCTTGATAATGATCACTTATTATATTATCAGCACAAAGCCAACTATTGCGCGTGGTTCAACGCTGGTAAGACGACATATAAATTTAGAAAACAAAAAACAAAGCCAACATGAATTATCAAGAGAGAAAAAAAGGAAAATGAAAAGAAAAAAATCTGAAATAGAAGGAAATAGAGAGAGAAGAAGTAAACATGAATAAAAAGAGAACAAAAGAGAAAGCAACGGAAAAGAAAAAGAACACAAAAAGAAAACACAGGAGGTGGCCCAGCCCCACGTTTACTTACATTAACCGCCGTCTTATTGACCAATTCCGGTTAGTGTGTTAGAGCCACAAGTAAGGATCAAGCAATAGCAAGCAAGCAAGCTAGCAAGCAAACAAGCAAGCAAGTTTTCGTCAGGCTAGGCACTCTTAGTGTAAAGCGGGCTTAATTTCTTACCATGTTTTTGTCGCAGAACAATGTTGGTAATAATTATAGTTTGCTCATTAGCAGTACACGCTCTTAGTACAGACGGACACTGTTGATCACCTACTAAATAGCAAACATTGTCTTCGATAAATCTGAATACAATAATCGACTTCCCTACAGGAATTGCATGATGTGGAGGCACAATAAAGCATACAGATTGCTCTTGGTTGTAGAATGTGCAACGTATTTTCTTGAAGCCGGGAGCTCGGGACCGCTTCCGAGTGTACTGAGCCATGACGCAAGAATAACCACTGCTCAGCTTGCAACGAGGCGACATGCATGGATTGTCGATTTGCTCAGCCGGAAGTAAAGCCCTGCATGCGGACATGCAGCGCTAAGATTACGCTGCGAACTAAAGTGCCTCGTGACAAAGACGACCGAACATGCAGGTGCCCCTGTATCACGCCGCCTAAAACCGTATCATGGTAATGATCTACTGAAAGCTCTTCACCAGCGTTGCAGCTACATTGCAGTTATCAGAGCTTTCAGAAACCACACAAATGATGTTATTTTGCAGCATACAGCCAGCGAGAAAAAAATTGCACGTAAGTACAATTTTTCTTTATTTTAGGGCTTTATTTTTACTGTGTTAATTAACAAATACGTGACAAATACGAGTACCAACACAGCCCTGACGCCACATACAACTTCCGTACTCCGTAAACGAAATGGTTAACGCTTACATAAACTATCGTCGATCATTGGCTGCTACGGTACTTCGTAAACTCGTGTGAAGGTTTGTGCCACGTATCGGGAAAATATAATCGTAGCATCCTACTAGTGCACTAAAGATAATAAGTGAGGTAACAAAAAAAGAAAAAAAGATTGCCACCCAAGCACTCCGTACAAATTGTTGACCGGTGAAAGCTGAAATGTGCTGCCCCGATTGGAGCAGTTGGTAAAACGTGACGCTGCACGCTGTCTGCACGTGCCACTTCTCCTTAACGTCACCCTCTCCACCACTCTCAATTCTCGAGCGCACATAGAGTAGTAACACTCTTTCAGCTCATTTATCTGCGATGGAGAAGACACCGCAAGACGACGCTCCTTCACCCGTTGAAACTTCCGCCGAAGTGATTAGGCTGAAGTGATTAGATGGTTAGCGAAGCCGAGCGCGTTCTCGAATGACGACGTCGTTCAATCGAGTAAACGTTACACCGAGTTTCGCTTCAAACCGCTCTTCCAGCACCCGCGTCGACGCGCGTTACAACCGGGTCAACGCCGTGCGCACAGCTTATGCTTTTGCACCCCATAAGGGTTTCTTCTGTGGACATGGTCCAAGTTACTCCGTGTTCGTTCGATACTCATTTTATTAAGCGTCCTAGAATGTTCTGTTTACGGTTGTCTTCAATGAGTATATACTGCAAATGTGGATGTATGCGTGTCATTTTCCTCGGTGTACAGAGATAGGCAGAACCGAGGCCTCCGAGATAGCTCCGGAAAACGCAGAGGCTAACGGCCAAAAATAAATCACAGCATATCGACGGAGTGATTGGTGGTGAGCGGGACAAAGCTTCGGAGGGTTTCACTAGTAAACCACGAATCCTCCGTCCAGCCGTCCGTCCATCCCTCTGTTACGTTCGTCCGTATGTTTGTATGTCCATCTGTCTGTGTGTTTGTCTGTAAGTCTGTCTGTCTATTTGACTGTAAGTCTGTTTGGTCTGCGACCTCGCGCTGCAGCCGCTTTCCGCACCCAACGCTCCGCCGCCTTGTGTTCCTTATGTCGCAGCCACGCCGAGTGAAAGAGGAAGTGCACCAAGAGCAGCGCAATTTATAGCTCTCACCCCTAGCGGACTCCCGTCGCACTGAATCGAAACATCTCTAATGATCGCCTCCATGCTATGAGAGGCACGCGCACGCGTGCCATCTTGTGATCGCTTATCACGCTATGCGCGCCCATATTTCTGAATGGAGCAAGTTCCGCAGCGCCATCTCGTGTTTTAATTCGTCTACTATGCTGCGCTAGTGCCATCTACTAATATTCCGTTCCACTAGCCTTCACCATGTATCTCTATGAAGTGAGTGCCACCAACGCCTTCTAAAGATCACTTAACGTACTGAACGAGGTGGCTACGGCGAAGGAAAGACTGTCCCACGGCGTAAGGAACTTCACCTCTAAAACACCTGATTGTGGTCACCACCAACATTTTGTAGTTTTCCTGCATGACATACATTTGAGCATTTGCTAGTTAAAGCCGGAAATTAGATCCTCCAAAGCCTACGTGCACAATGTGGTGTGATGACGACCACTTAATATTACCGGTGGTCGCGGCGTGTGCGATGTTTGTCGCAGGCGACACCATTCTGCATTTAGGACGGCGTGCATCCCGGTCACAGGCTTTGTTAAGCTTCATAACCAAACTTGCTACAATTTTCAGTTACGGCTACTCGAAACAACAGGACACCTACATTATCGCACTTTCTCATGCGACAGGCTATGGAGAACGCGAATAATTCGCCTACCCAACACGCTTGCAACAGTCCGTATCCAGCGCTCTCACCGTTCTGCTTCGCGAGAGCTATATATTTCGGTGAAACTGAAGCCATTTACATTCTTGGTAATTCACAACGTCACAGTAGCATTGATAGAGGTCTTTCTTCGTAGAAGGTGGAGTTGTCGCGTCTGCTCCTGTTTTCGCCGTCATTCTGGCAAGTGAACCACCAAGGCGGTTTGGTGTCGTGTCCTACTAGCAGTGAGAAATTCGTAGCTCTTTTTCTGAGTGTTTAATGCACAAACACACTTACTATTTAGCTCAATCATTGTTTCGCGCACGCTAGTTGGACCTTATTGCGTAGCCAACAGTGCAAGAAATACGGGCTTTGCACTACCCAAAACTGCACTGACAGGTGGCGCTACGTGTCTGCAAGACTTCAGAGTATGAAGCCTATACGGCAGTGCCGTAATCGCAGAAGCCAACCGAAAAGCGCTTCAATAGGGTGCAGTAACTGTTGCAGAAATGTTCTCTCTTTCTGCTCTTATCTTCCAGGAGGTGCGAACTAAATGACCGAAGAGGGTGATGGTGCTGTGAATTGTTTACTCTTGTTTTCTTATAGCGCACGTAAAAACTGTTTACCATGTGGTAGGTCGCTTTAAAGGGTACTTGTATATGTTGTCAAGGAAAAATGACAGAGGCGTGGCTATTTACCAGCTGTACTCCCACCGATTAGCGTAGCATCAACCAAGATGGAGGACAGCACGCACAGCGAACAGACCAGCCTCTTCCTCGTCGTCTTTTGCGGGCAAGATGTCTGATCGCAGATATGTCACCTACGTAGCAATACCCCTGGCGGTGAAAGTGCCATCTCGGTGCACATTAATTACGGTCTCCAGAAGGCAGGTGGTAGAGTTTTAGGCTACTGGCGTGTACTAAATCAGTGGGTGTGGTTTTAGGCAGGGTGGTCTGAGAGGCAGGAATGGTCTCATAGGTGACGTCCGTTACCTGGTGGAAGACACGGTGCAGCTCTGGCGGACTGGGCTGGTCCTTCGCCAACTTCTGACGCCGGTCCCCGACGACGACGACAGCGTAGCTCTGGCCGACTGGATTACCCCTGCGCCATCTCCTGTCGCCGACAAAAGCTCTCGCCAGTGGTGCCCCGTCCTCGGACTGCAGCGACCGTCTCCATCTTTCCTATCTTCTCCTCACTTCCATCGTTCGCTGTTCCTGCGCCTCGCCCTCTCCTTCCTCTCTCTCTATCTCTTTACCTTGTAATCCTATCATTTTAATCCCTCCTTTACCGCCACCCCTCGTTAGCTACTGTTGTGGTGGCCTCCCCCTGAGAGACAGTTACGGGGCTCACTTTTCTGTTCATTTAACCCCCCCTCCCGGCTAAAGATGCTGCCATTTTGGTCGTTTCCTTCGTGATCCTTCGCTCGCTACGACGGTCCGATTCATGGAGGAAGGAAAAATAGAGGAGGGCAAGCCCAGCCGGCGCGCTATGTGGAAAGTGTAGAGGGAATGACATCATGGTAGGCACTGCGCCGTGCTCCCAACCGCGCTGCAGAAATTAGGCGCCTTTCTCCTCTTCTAACCACCACCACCACCACCACCACATCATGGCGGCCCTGTTCACTTTGCACAATGGCGGCGTTGCTATGGTTACGCGTTGCGCAGTGTGGCTGGTCAAGCAGTGAGCGGCCGCGGCTGGCGGCGGCATGTGTGCCTCCGCAGGTCTCGTGCTGAGCCGTGGCGGACAATATCCGTGCTCTGCGCGGCGTGATCGGTTGCGCAGTGTTCTACTGGCAGTTACTGTATTCTTAGCAACGTTTACAAAACATTTCGTCCACCACGCGGCCTGAACAGCGCATATCGAATTGTCGTGCGGCGGCTGATGCGGATGAAGCCTTTGAAGTGTTCAGCGAAATTGCGTTGGGCACCATGACGAAGCGGAACGACGACGAACGCCTTGTAGGTCAGTGACGGTTGGACAATGCTCCTGCTTGTGGCAACGGACGAAACGGCTGTGCCCAGCAAGACGCAATGTGGACCATGTGCACATACGTAGTTTCGTGTTCGGTATGTGTACAGTAAGAACTTGCATGTGCATAATAAAACACCTTTTCTGTTCCGCTTGTTATACTCGCCCCCCTCATTGTAATCTCAACGTTAGAGCGAACGCATTCAAGTGTCACTCGCACTGTGCTCAAAGTCACCACGGTCGCAGAATGCTGACGCCGGTGAGTTTCACGTGGAACATGAGCACATTGGCTGGGCGCTGCGTCAGCCTCGTGTCAGAATGCAACCGTAGAAGGAGGCGCACGACCGATCGTGATTTCTGTACAGTTGCTGAATCAATGACGTGAAAACACTCGCCGTTGTCAGTGAATCTAGCACGTGTTCTCTTGTATTTGCTTCGTTGTCGGCGTACCGTTACTCACTGTTAATACTCGGACGAAATGATTTTGCGGAAGGTGTCGCGCTGGCACAGAGTCTTGAGCCCCGTTTTGGGATCGTTACGACACGCGCGCTGCGCAGCCCACGTGCTTTCCGAGTCGGAGAGAGAGTTGTGCCTTCTGCTTCACACTCAGATGTAAACAAAAGAGAAGAATTTGGCCACTGAACATGGCCGACTTCCAGCTTCCCCACGCCTTTAGAAGGAGTGACGTCAGGGCCTCTCCTAAGTCTTTTCCTTCCTCCATGGTATACTCACACGCTCAGCGGCGGACCATATAACGCATGCGCAGTGGCGTAACCACCAACTGGCTTAGCGGAGCATTAGGCAAAATACGCTCAGCTAACAGTCCCTATTATTCATAGTCAATCTGGAGAAATTCGGATATGTACGTTACACTAGCACTAGGCTTGATGGCCGTTTCACCGGGTTGATCAAAAGGGTACTTGATAAGCGATCGGCGTCCAGATGGAGACGTCCAGACTTGTGCGCAACCGAGTATAGGAATACTCCTGTAGGTGTAACGCCCAACGGCCAAGTCACTGGAGTGTTGCAGAGAGAAAAGGCCATGACCTTGAATTGGTGAAGGTCGTCAGGAATAACGAAGGCAGTCTTTTCTCGATCCATGTCATCTACAGCAATTGGCCAGTAGCCAGATTAGGTGAAATGGTATCAGTGCGTGGAGGCTCGCGAGATAATGGCAAGTAAAAAACGGAGGGTGCAATGGCTGAACGTCTAGGGAATGTAAGGTGCATATAAGTGTGGGTAGCGAAAGAGGGAAATGCACCAATTTAAAGAAGTTGCGTCGAGATTCACAAAGGCCGTTCTTCCAGCTTTCGCTGGGGCTATGCTGCGTGTTCCGACAAAAGCTGGTACTTTTTTTAAACTAGAGAAATTCAACAATGTACAAGTAGCCTGCGCTCTAAACATTTAACAGGGCTGACTTCTACATTGACATATTTTCTTAATTTTCATTTGACGTCCACGAATTTATAAAAGTTGAATGAAACGCGTTTCAACTGACATTATGCTATAGATGCATGACGTTATGTTCATTCGCCTGTTTTGCTCCTTCTACCGTTGTGGTTGTTTCGCGCACTAGTGTGACAAGCAATGTCATTGTGGCTTATCACCCCGTAATGACCAGATGTCGTCGCTGCTTAAAGATGAGCCAATCTTGGAGATCTGAAAACACGACGTGATAGGGTATAAAGCATCAAAAGAGTGATGAATAGTACATTAACGAAAAAACAGAGAAAAGGTTTCTCGCCTTCAAAACAACTTGGGCGATTGCATAAGGGGTCCTGTGAATTGTTTGTTAAGCGTCCTACGGCACACGCGTTTCTTACTACGTGGGTATAAGCTTGTATGTTTGTTTAGTTGGTTGTCAGCACAGGCGTCAGTTGTGTACGTCTGTTAGTGCCATTTTCCCACTGTCACTACGAGTGATCTGTTTCGGAATGCCAAGTAGACCATGTATTGACTTCCCGCACTCGTCAAACACATGTTTTAAGCGTGCAACATGTACCAAAGCGCGATAAATGTTCTGTAGTGAGGCGCACAGATTTTTTTATTGCTCAGCATGTCCAAACGTTCAGAGTTGATGGGCAATGAGTACAACATTTGAAGACAGTTTTCTGTGTGCATTAGAAGCGTTTTAGTTGTTTCATCGACCTCAATGCATCCGTTAGTATACGTAAGGCTTCATCGCAGCGCCGACTTCCTGTCGCAAACATTTGTACCAATCAACAGACTAAGTGCACATGTGGCAGATCCAGCATTCATCCCAGCCTAGCCAACAATGTCGTCTGAACTGCTGGCATACAACTGCCTGTGCTATTGGTTTGCCATGTCTGCTTCTCCATGAGTGTGGTCTAAAGACTACCTGAAACTGTGCAGCTCTCTTTCAAAGGCGTGAGTGTCGTCATTTAGCAGCCTCAATATCATCACAAATATAATTTTTTGGGATAAATGCTAGAATATATTGCATTTATTACGATGGGGAGATCCATGAAAAGCAAGGAAAAGATGAAACGAAGTGGGGCTATCTATGAGCTTGCAACTATTTTAAAATGGTGAAACAACAGAGACCATGGCTGGAGTGCTTATTCCACCGCCCCACTTATTCGGCCACCTCCTAGAGTTAAAAAGTAATACTTAAGGTCTCTAGGCCGTTCTTTATATCTTACTATACCACTGCTTCCAGTCTTAAACCTTCAATTGCAGTAAAAGTGCTGGTATTTATCGCAATTGGTGTTTGTGTGCAATGCCAGGGTCTTTGTATGAAGTGGAATTCTAACAAAGAATTAGGTGCAAGTTTTTTTTCGAATGTGAATAATTCATTAGCGAACGTAAGCCATTTGCGTGTTTCTATTTACGTATCTGTCTACGCATCTAGCCAACTATATTCGGGTGCTCCAGTGAACCAAACAAAAGTGAGGAACTCAATTGGAATTGAACCCAAGCATTCTGTGTTGCAGTCACGTAATATACCACATAGCCCCGATTGGTCCTAAAACTGTTTTATTAAAAAACGTAATGTTGCCATAATGTCAGTGCAACGCAAATAGTGATTGCAATGCTGGCTTCTAATTTTATGTACAATGAAATGCACAAGGCGTAGTAAATGTACTCATACTGATACAAGGCGTAACGTAAGGTTAACTTCAATTGCGCTCCTGGTGTTGGCTCCGTTTTTGTAGCGCTCAATAAACATTGCACTTGTATTCAGGTGATACAAAAATGTATATTTAAGCATTGATTGACCCCATGTGAATACTTTAAGGAATGTTACGTATGGTATTCGCGTCACCGAACCGTAATTTGCGCTTCGTATTGGATAATACCGACGTCTGTTCTCAAACGTGAGTGTTGTCGTTACGTCAAACCATAACTTACCCGTTAAACGCCCTTTTAGTCGACATACCTGGTAAGTCTACGATGTCCACTTATCTACAGCACCTAAAGACGCGTCAATCTATCTTCTGAACGCTTGGCTCAATAGTGCAATAATGCAGAACAGACAATTACTCGCCGAGAACTTCGCATGAAATCGATTCCCACAAGAAAAAAAAAGGCAGTGTGCCAATTCTGTTACTCTCTCACGATCGTTATGCGATGTGTCGTCATGGTTGTCACCTCGTTACCGTTTCGACGTTAAAGTAGCGCCACTAATGAATAATAAAAATCCCAGAAAAAAGCGCTTAGCGATCTTTCCGCATTTGCTTCGATCACGGAAAATCCGAAACAAGCTTCACGGTTAGCGCCGTCCAGATCCCATGGAAATTACCGGCCTTTTGAATGCACTGTAAATTGGTTTGTATCTGCCGTGATAAGAACAATCTTAAGGAGTTTTCAGTGGTAATGCGAGTGCTTTCCTAAACACACGAAAAATAGACAAGAATTTATTCATAGAAAAACAAAGAGCACATCCTGAAATTTGATTAGCTGTTCAATCAAATCGGGTTGAAGTGTCAATTCGCTGTCTCCAGCGTTTTCCCACTAGTAATATATTCGTCGCATTCCGCATAGTCCATATGCGCACTAAATGTTCCGATATGCTGTTAAGTATAACCTAATGCTAAAAGGCAGTCTGCTTCTTAGTGTTTAAATGTTCTAATGGTCATTACCCACGTAACTTGTTAGCTTCTGTTCTGGTCAAGGTTACCTACAGAAAAATAACCACTGAGGGGTAGCTAGCTTTTGAGAGTATTTTGGCCGAATAGATTTGCGCAAAATACTCAGCCTTAGTTTGGCGGCTGTGGCTGATCAATAAAAATCGAGCACTGCGAAACCTATCCTACTACTTAGTCATCAAGTATTGACTGATAGTGTCAAATAAGAAATAGGTTTGCTAGTATATTTAGACAAGTCATTTTCATATTATTTGATGGAATTGCAAAAGAACAAATATACGTGCTGCAATGTGATCTGTATAAATGATTTACTGGCACAATATTTGGACAGTGTCTGTGATCTGTAGTTCATATTTACCGCAGGCTGTTATTAGCAGCATTCGTTTTGATTATACTCCTAAGAAGTCAGTACAGATGAAATTTCCGGAAATAGTTGTAGACAGGCACAGATGCCGTGGCTGTTAGGCATGAGCGTGTGCCTTCCTTTTTTTTTCTCTCTACTTCTCTCTCAGTTTCTGTATACCTCTCACTTTCCAACTACCCCATGACTTGCCTTAATGCCTAGTAGTTTAACAGTGATTATAGACTGGTTGACACCTCCTGCCTTTACTAATCTTGTTCTTCCTTCATACCTAAATAAAGATTCAGCCAGCACTGCAGCAGTGGCGCCTGGAGAGAGTTACCAATGCCTGAGACTCCACGTCGGAGCTCCGACACTGGAAATGCTGACGAGTTGGCCAACATGGACCGATGTTGGGGTGTTCCTGCAGCAATGGCGGCCGGGGGATTTCTGATATGCATGCCGTCCACTTGCTTCGGGCTGCTATTTGTTCTTTTCATGGACCGGTTCGGCGCCACGAGAGAGGAGCAGCTTGGCCAGAGAACGCTTTTACCTTGGCTAGCCATCTGTCGGGCAAGTACCTTGGGCTAAATCAATTTCGAATTTTTAGTGATCATGCTCAGATCTGGAGTACGCCCGTTCACTTGATGACCTGTCCACACGTTCCTCTTTCTGCTTGTAGATGTTTTACCTTGTCGCACAAGTGTATGCTTAAAGCTTGGCTTTTGGAAGCATTTTCGAATAAGATTCGAGCTTTTGATAGAATTGCCATAGAAAACAGCACGAACATATAACCAATCCAGTTCTTTTGCTTTCATGGGCAGATTGGCTGCCTAATTAATTGCGAATCAAGCTCATTCACACACGTTCACCACCAACACTTTTACTTCATCACACTCTGAAATTGAGTCTAAGCATACAATTGATGCCAAGAACCATTTAGTCGTGTGCATTCATCCAACATGTCATAAGCAACAAGCTTACAGACAAAACAGTCCAACGTTCTTAATAAATATGTACCACTGTAGCAGTATTACAGTTATTTCAATTACACATGAAGACTAACACATTTCAGTAAGGGCGTATAGTACTACCTCATAGTACTGCCTTATAGTAAGGCGTTATAGTGAAGCCTTAAGATACAGCCTTATAGACTGTGCGACGTTACGTACTCACAGGACAATGCATGTCGACCATAGTTTCAAAGGTAAAGTTCCAAATTGAAGCACTTCTGTTCATTCCTGCAAAAAAAAAAAAAAAACTGACTGTAACCACCTTCTTGTCTTCCTCGCCAACCAATGAAACCATTATTTTTCTGAAACACCTTGTTTACCATTGTGCAGTGTACATGCATTAACTGCTTCTCTTTCTAGCACCGATCGGCATGGGGAGTACGCTAAACAAAAGAACGAACAAACAAACAAACAAACAACCACCCAAAACAAACAAACAAACAAAAACACAGAAAAAATTGGCATGATCCCACGTACAGTGGGAATCGATGATATGCAAAGCACGAATGAAGATGGTTGATATGCCACTTTCAATTCACCACAACGTTACAAGGTGGAGGTAAATTATGCCGTGCATGACTTCTGTGCCATGATTATCATGTTTGGATGTGTTGTTTACCTTCGTCAACTATTCACGTAACGTGATGCCAAATTTAATATATGTGGAGCTAGCGAAACGGCAGCGAGCACGCTACGAGCGTGGTATGTTGTCATGTTCTTACATGACACGCGTCTCATGATTGTCATGTTTGTACCAGTCAAATACCTTTATCATCCATTGACGGTACGTAACACCAAATTTGGTATATGTCGAGCTAGCGAAACGGCCTCGAGTGCGTCATGAAGGGCCAAATATACTCCAACGAAACGTTGACGCGCGCGCACGCTGGGCGCAGCAACGATACGTTAGCAAAACGCGAGAACTCTATAGTATGACGCCAGGCGCAACCGGCGCGACCAGCGTCCGTTGGCGCGGCTGGACAGCAACCGGCGCGAAATGCGACATGCTGCATTTGGCGCCACTGTGTTACCCAGACAGCACAGCGTCTGCCTCTTTTCCAGACGGAGAGACGCCAGACGCACTCAAACGCGCATGTGTGAAAGCCACGCAGCGCGCGCCTGCGAGTATAAGTGCAGCTAGTGACACGGCCACCAGCGCGTCATAAGCGTGGCATGTAGTCATGTTGTTACATGACATGCATCTCATGATTATCATGTTTGCACCAGCCAGATACATTCGTCATCCATTCACGTACCGTAATATCAAATTTGATATATATGACACTAGTGAAATGGCCGAGAGCGCACCATGAGCGTGACATATAGCCATGTTGTTACATGACACGCATGTCATGACTTTCATGTTAGGGTCTGTTGCTTGTGTTCGCCATGCAATCATGTCATACCATACCAGTTCTGGAAAATGTCATGTGAACGAAACCACCGCAAGAGCAGCAAGACCATGAAATGTAAATAATGAAATTCATGACACACATGTCATGAATATCATCATATGACTAGTCAAATATATTCTTCATACAGTCACGTTATGCCATACCGAGTTTGGTACCGATACCATTATCGAAACGGCACGGAGAGTTAAAAGTCGTAGGCGGCTAGATAGATAGATAGATAGATAGATAGATAGATAGATAGATAGATAGATAGATAGATAGATAGATAGATAGATAGATAGATAAATAGATAGATAGATAGATAGATAGATAGATACGCTCAAAGTCGGCAAAGTTCGCTAAGAAATGCTTCGCGTTTAATAAATAAATAAATAAATAAATAAATAAATAAATAAATAAATAAATAAATAAATAAATAAAACGCTGTGTTAACTTCGCGGCAAGTGCCGTTGTGCTTGCCTAAAGAAGCGCACTTGCTTCCGACATTTGATCGCTTTCTTTACTGTGTGCTGCATTGCACATTATATGGGCTTCGAGCATTTCATCACCATCGAATATCGAGAGCCGCGGCCGCGATCGAACTTGCGCCACTTTTACTACTGGGCCGCCTCAACGAAGGCTGTGTTCCAATACTCCCCGTAGACGGCTAAATAGACAGCTAAATGGACGGCGGTCATCTTAAGTCCCATTCCAATTCTCACGTAGCCGGCAAAGTAGACAGCTCCGAGAAGACCGCATCGTAGACAAATACGATGCAGGCTACTTTGCTGTCTAAACAAGATGGCGGCTCAACGAATCGCTCAGATAGATCAAATCTCGCCAGAATGGCCGTCTACACACAAGCAGACGCTTTCCCAGACGCTCAATGGGAGTAACGTTTATTTGTCTTTCATTTAAACACGAAATAAGCCAGAAAGTACGTTACGTTTATTTATTTTAGCTTTTTTTTTCGACGCGAGGTGGCACATTGTCGCGTAAAAGCAGTCTAAATGCGTTCCATTTCGTGGACAGCATGGGCCTGATGCTGTCTTCTAAGCAGTCTTCGTAGACTGTCTACGTGCTGTCTAAGAATTGGAACACAGCCGGAGTCTTCCCGAGTAAGAAGCATGATACAATGTGTCGGTTTCCAGGCAAGTTGGACAGTGCCGACTGTGACGTCTGTGGCGATTTTGTAGGGAGACAACAATGACGGCAGTGTCACCTATAGTGGATCATTTGCTACAGTGCTCGGCTGCTGACTCATAGGTCACGGGTTCAATCTCGATCGTGGTGATTACATTTACCTGGAGGCGGAATGGTAGAGGTCATTGCACTGTGCAGCATCAGCGGACGTTAACGAACACCAGATGGTCGGTTTCCGGAGCCCTCCACTACGGAGTCTCTCGTAATCTCAAAGTGGACTTGTGACGTAAAATGCCGGATATCATTATTATCAATGACACCACCAATAACACTAACAACAGCGCTCTGGTAGTGCTCTTTATGTGCACGCTACGCACTTTCTCAAATTTCTCAGTAATAGAGTTGCACTAAGCACGAGATTTAGAACTAGATCATTCATTCATTCATTCATTCATTCATTCATTCATTCATTCATTCATTCATTCATTCATTCATTCATTCATTTTATTGTAAAGATTGTTATACAATGGTAGGGCCCAAGAAAGAGAAATCACAGCATATCCCAGGAGTAAAGGATGATGAGTGTGCGAAGCTCCGGAGGTACATCGGTAAACCGTGAATACTTCATAGCTCTCCCCCAGTCAGTCAACATGCAAAGACGACGAGCACGCCCTGTAGCCGTTTTGCGAACCCTCCGCATCTGCCGCCTTGTACTTTTTTCTAGAAGATGAGCTTTGCGACCACCAGCCTTGGAGCGAGGAGACTAGGGCAGTCGCTAGGCCTCAGCCTCAACACCGTGTTTTCCCGCTTAATTACTTTTTCTGTTTATCTGAGCTTTTCAATAATGTTTAGTCTGCTTAAGTCACAGTCAGAAGATGTTCACACCAGTCATATGACCCATTTAGTAGTTTAGCTATGAGGGAACCACACTGCTAAATTGAGGACTGGGTTCGACTCCCCGCCATGACCTCCAGAATCCGCGGTAGACCCAACGCAGAAACAACTCCATACTTACATTCATGTGCATGTCATAGACCTACACGCAATCACAATCAATCGCGAATAATGTGCGTCTTAGTGATATTAAATTTTTCGCCCACAAAGCCATGTAATTTTATTTTGTTATGCTGCTTGCATCACATATAGGAAATGTGTCATCGGCCGCAACAAAGTGCCTCTAAATAGCCGCCTTATAAAAGCATGATCTGTAACCAAAAAAGAACGCCTGCAAACGTGGACACCTTTGCGCGTATTTTACATATTTTTAACATTCACTTCCGTTACACACCAGAATTCTGGAAAAATCTGGATGCAGTCCGCTTGGGAAGCCATGTTCAATATAAAGGATAACAGTGTCTATATATGAGGTACATATAAACTGTCGTACAGACGACTGAGCTGAAAGGATGCTGCAGAGAAAGCGTTTTTGTATTAGTAAATTATTACTTCACCATTCCGATAGTGCCGCATCTGACGCTAGACGACTTTAGGCAAGCAAGAGAACGCAAGAAAACAAATACAGGTGGTGAGGACACCTTCAAATTATCTCATTAGTAGTCAGGACGTCATAGATTTTAGCATCTACCTGGCAGTATGGAAATTTCAAATCGTAAAGGGTGAATACATTCTTCTCAGAGTGGGCCATACGTTTCACGTACCAGGTTTTGCAGAAATTCGGTAAACGATTGTCTATAAAATACAAAAAATACGTTTTAATATCCGTGATGTTACATGTGGTTACATTAGCGTGACATTGAAAAATAAAATTTTGATCTTGATTTTGTCCTCTAATAGTAAACCTAGGTTGTTAAATCAAGGACATCAATGTTCTCAGAGTACATGCTGTCAATCTATAGACTATGTATTGTTTACGTCCCTTTATTATCGCTAAGAATAGCCTCCCCAAAGACCTGATAGTTTCTGCTGATATCCCTTTAGACTTTCGCTTGAGTGTGTAGTGGGGAACATGCGCTCGAGGACAGGTATGAAGGGGTAGGTTTGGGAATAAATGGACATGCGGCGAAGGTCATGATGCCAATATACTGTAAACAAGTGATTGACGATCTAACGAGAGGGATCATAATTGATGTTTAAAATCATAGCATGCTGAAGGCAAAAATACTGTCCAATAACCTAACCGAAGTTAGAGAGTTGGTGATCCCCCAAAGATATAATTGCAGCATAAACAGTTCAAGGAAGCAAAAGCGGTGCTCGGGCACGTATACGAGTTCGGTTAGCGCGGAGCAGAAAAGACGGAGTCGAAGAACAAATGGCGGTACTAGAAAACAGGTGTGTCTATTTTCATGTGTCATTACATTTAATGGTACAGTTACGAAACATTGCGGCCATGCCAACCGCTCACATTGCACTGCGATAGCCAAGTTCGGTATGAGATCCCGCCTTCTCGGCATCCGCTAACCTGCGGTTGCTGCAAGCACCGTCCCAGGGTGGCATTTTGGCCTCCTTGGCGGCTCGA